CCTCCCTCCGCAGCCACCACCCCGCAGCCAGCACCGCGGCCCCGCCAGCAGCGGCGCGGCGAGCGGGGCGCGGAGCGGAGCGGCGGCGCCGGGACGCGGAGTCCCAGCGGCGGCCGCAGCCCTCCGGCACGGCCCCGGGCCCATCCCGGGAGCCGCCGCTAGGTGGGGGGGGGAGCCCGGCCCCGGCCGCCCCGGCCGCACAACAATGACTTTGGGCAGCAGCGGCGGCGGCGGCTGCGGGATCATGTCCGAGCGCTCCCCGGAGGAAGAGCCGCTCTCCGAGGTGGAGGACGCGGATATCGACGTGGTGGGCCCGCCCCAGGATGGGGGCAAGTACAGCGAGGAGGAGGAGGACGAGGACGAGGAGGACGAGGACGAGGAGGACGGCGGCGATCCGCTGGGGCTGGCGCTGCCGCGGAGCGGGGCCGCCAAGGCGCGCATGGGGGGGTCCCCGGAGCGGCTGTCCCCCGCCGGCGGCTCGGAGCCGGCCTGCGCCCGCGGCGCCGCGCCCGGGGAGAAGGCGCCCGCGGGCGGCGGTGGCGGCGCGGGGGGGAAGAACCCGCTGGTGAAGCCGCCCTACTCCTACATCGCCCTCATCACCATGGCCATCCTGCAGAGCCCCAAGAAGCGGCTGACGCTGAGCGAGATCTGCGAGTTCATCAGCGGGCGCTTCCCGTACTACCGGGAGAAGTTCCCCGCCTGGCAGAACAGCATCCGCCACAACCTCTCCCTCAACGACTGCTTCGTCAAGATCCCCCGGGAGCCCGGCAACCCGGGCAAGGGCAACTACTGGACGCTGGACCCCGAGTCCGCCGACATGTTCGACAACGGGAGCTTCCTGCGCCGGAGGAAGCGCTTCAAGCGGCAGCAGCAGCTGCACCCGCCGCACCCCGAGCTGCTGCTGCGGGCCGGGGCCGCCGACCCCGCCGCCTTCCTGCCCGGCTTCGCCTACGGACCTTACGGCTACAACTACGGCCTGCAGCTCCAGGGTTACCCCCACCACCACCACCACCATCCCGGTGGCGGAGGCGGCGGCGCCGCGGGCGCCTTCCCCTTCCCGGCGCCGCACTGCCCGTTACCGGCTCCGCCGCCTCCCGCCGCCGCCTCCGTCTTCTCCGCCGCCTCGGGGCTGCCCTCCTTCCTGGGCGGCGAGCTGAACTGCAGGAAGTCCTTCTACCACCCCCAGCTGAGCCCCACCGCCCTGCCCGCCGCCCTCCTCCAGACCCTCAAGCCGGACCCCTCGCCCGCCGGCGGCGGCGGCGGCGGCAGCGGCGGCACCAACCACCCCTCCCGGCCCTCTTTTTCCATAGACAACATCATCGGGGGGGCCGTGCCCCCGCCGCCCAGCACCAACCCCAGCGTCGCGCCCGCCGCGCCCTACCCCGCCGGCCAGGCGGGCCCCCCGGCGCAGGTCCTGGCCGTGCTCAGCCCCGCCTTGGCCCCGGCACAGCCCCAGGTCAGCCTGGCACACGAGCCGCTCCTCCAGCCGGCCCAGAACTTTTCCAGTAAAATCACAACCCTCAGCAGCTGTCATTTTTAAAGTGTGCTGGGGACTGGGGAAGGGGAGGGGGATGGGGGGGAGAGTCGCGAAGCAAACGGCCCCTTTCCAGCTCTCCCCCACTCCTCCGAAATTGCTCCCCTTCCCTCTCCCCGTGTCCCCCCCCCATCTCCTCCTGTTGTGTTTTAAGGTAGGAAATATTTCTTTTTTTTTATTTTTTTTTTCCAGGCTCAGCGGCATCCAGATCAGTTTGTCTCTCTTTGCTCGGGCAAAGAAAAAAAAAAATTCAACAAATCGGGAGGGCGGGAGGAGGGAAAGAATAACACGATTTGGTCCTACAAGCGCCAAAGCGTATTTATAAAGTGGCCGTAACATAAGCTGGGACCTGGGCTGGTTGAACACGCAACGTCTTGTGAGGGGCGGAGGGGGGGCATGTGAAGAATGAAACGCTCTTAGGGTCGGAAATGTTTCCTTTGAGAGGTGCGGGTTTTCCGCGGGGTCCTCCAGATCTCCTGGGAAAGCGGCCAGGGGAGTTGCGGACGCCCCCGGCCGCAGAGAGCCCCTTTTCGTTCCTGCGAGTCTCTGTCCGGGTGGTTTTGCCATGTGTGTGTCTCTCCCCTGCTCTCAAAGAAAATGTTTTAATGGTCCGATCTTATTTTTAGTTTCTTTGAAGCTTCGGGTTTGGTTTTAAAAGGCACTGTTTAAGGTTTCTTTGTTTTTAAGAAGAAGAAAAGTCGGTGAAACTCAGGACTGCGGGGTGTTTTTTTCTTTTTCTTTCTTTCTTTTTTTTTTTTTTTTTTTTTTTTTTTCCCAATTAGACATTCAAATGCACGTTTAAAAGAAAATCGGATCCGTCAGGAAGTTTGGAGAATTCCCATACTATTTTTTTTTTAATCCCCGTTTTCCCACCCCCTCCGTGCGTGGGTTTTTTGGTGTATTGGTAATTATTTGTATATAGATTATTCGGGAGCTAATGAGCGGAGTCCAGTTAACTCTTCACTGGTTGTGCATCCGTCATATCTATTTTATTGAGAGAATCTGTGAATAATTTGATGTGGAAAAGGCAACAGAATTTTGTCCACCGTTGGTGTAAATTAATAAATGTTTGTGACCTGGTTAAAAAAAAAAATTAACAATCCAAATCGTTCTTTGCGATGTCCTTTGTCACGCTGAGAGCCGAGAGCCCCTCTCGGGCCTCGGGGAAGCCAGAGGCTCCCAGCCTGGGGCCGGCGACACCCGGAGCGTTCGGCAGGGGCTGAGCAGCCCCTCCGCGGCCGGGCGCGCAGCCTGCGCGGGGCTGCTCCGCGCCGCCCCCTGCCCAGCGCTGCGGCTGCCACACCGCCCGGCCACGGTGGCGGTCCCCGCTGCAGGTCCGCGGGCCGGCAAGCGAAAAGATCCCCGGAGATATATATATATATATATATATATATGTATATATATATTTTTTTTTTTTCTAATTTTATTTTTTTTCTTGGATTTTGGAATCTTTCAGGGAAAAAAAAACCTCAAAAAACCAAACCAAAACAAAACAAAAGCAACACCCAAAAAAAAAAAAAAAATCCAAACAAAACCAAAACTAAAAAATACCCCTCGTGTTTTCAGGGGGAAGGAGGTGGCGGCCGGGAAAAAGGTTCTCCCTTCTTCACCCCCTCCCCCGCCCCCCACCTCCTTTTATTTTGTTTGGAAAAGTTGACACATGAGAAAATAAGTTGGAGGGTTTCCCCCCCGCATACACGTCCCCCTTGGGCCTGCAGTATCTGAATGACCGAATGAAACTTGATCTCTACCTAAATTTTGCAACAACTTACAAAGTAAATAAACATCTTAAAGCGCTCCCTTCTCTTCCAAACTTCTCTTCCCCCCCCCCCCCCCCCCTTTTTTTTTTTCAGACA